AATTATTTTATTATACTAGTTTACAAAATTAGAATACATTGTTTTTCACACCAGTTCCTTCCCATTTCCCTAACCCCCCACCCATCAAATTGTGTGACCCCATGATTAATTTAAAGCTAACAAGGGTTGAAAGGTTTTAAAATATTCTGCAAACCCAAAAAACAAAACAAGAGGAGAGCAAAGTCTTTGCTGGGCTTCATCCTAATTAAAGCCTGATTATATAGGTAATTTTCTCCTCTGCTGTCATGATTGTTAATAAGTACTTTATTCAAGGGAGTCAGAGATCCAAGGAGAAATGAACCAGAAATGCTATGCATGCAAGAGGCAGAGAACCCTGGACCTGAACTTCTAGTCAGTTTTTGAACTTGAAATATCCCCCAAATAAATATTTATATATTCCTTTTTTTTTCTTTTAACATAAAAGGAGCTCTGGTGGCCTAGTGGGTAGTGAGGAAGCCCTGGCGGCCCAGTGGGTAATGAGGGAGCCCCGGAGGCACAGTGGGTAGTAAGGGAGCATCGGAAGCCTAGTGGGTAGTGGGGGAGTCTGGGTGGCCTAGTGGGTAGTGAGGGAGTCCTGGCGGCCTAGTGGGTTGAGGGGAGCCCTGGAGGCCCAGTGGGTAGTGAGGGAGCCCTGGCGCCCCAGTGGGTAGTGAGGGAGCATCAGAAGCCTAGTGGGTAGTGAGGGAGTCTGGGTGGCCTAGTGGGTAGTGAGGGAGCCCTGGCATCCCAGTGGGTAGTGAGGGAGCTCTGGCGGCCTAGTGGGTTGTGAGAGAGCCCTGGAAGCCTAGTGGGTAGTGAGGGAGCCCTGGAGGCCCAGTGGGTGGTGAGGGAGCCCTGGAGGCCCAGTGGGTAGTGAGGGAGCCCTGGCAGCCTAGTGGTTAGTGAAGGAGCCCTGGAGGCCTAGTGAGTAGTGAGGGAGACCAGGTGGCCTAGTGGGTTTGGGGGAGCCATGGCAGCCTAGTGGATTGTGGGAAACTCTGGTGTCCTAGTGGGCTGGAGGGAGCCCTGGCAGCCTAGTGGGCTGGAGGGAGCCCTGGCAGCCTAGTAGGTCGGGTGAGGCAGCCCTGGCAGCCTAGGGGTTGGCGGGAAGCCCTGGAAGCCTAGTGGGCAGTGGGGGAGCCCTGGAAGCCTAGTGGATAAGGAGTTGGGCTGTCACCCAAAGGTGCATGATTCAAAGTCACGCCCTGCTCTAAGAAAGATCTACAATCTCTTCCCATGCAATTCGTAGCCCTTGAAAACTTATTGGAGGGTCAGCTATGCATCAGTTTTGACTTGTCAGCAATTAAATTTTATTTTTGCGTAATGAAGCTAACTTACACTGTATTTATATAATAAAGTCCTAGTATCCACAAACCCAAACTCATTATTATCAAGTCAGTTCCAACTAAAGGCAACCCACATGCTACAGAGGAGGACCACTACTTAGGGTTTTCTTGGTCTTAACCTTTAGGGAAGGAGATAGTCAGGCCTTACTTTTGCCAAATACTGGATGGGTTTGAACTGAAAACCTTTATGGTAGCATCGAGTACAAACCATTTGTGTCAATTGCTAGCAAGTCAATTCTTGCTCAACCTTATAAAATAATGGAAAAACTCTCTCACTGCCATCACTATGGCTTCAATGCCTAGCAACCCTCCACTGTGTTTCTGAGGCTGTAAATCCTAAGAGGAGACTACCTCTCACAGAACAATTGGTGGACTAAAATCTTGGGAGAGATGCTGCTTTGGGTTAACAGAGTAAGACTCCCTCCCTATACATGAGTCTATGTCAGACACTGACATAGTTGCATCCCTTCACCCTATCTATCCAATGGAGATGCTGAGCATATAACCCAATAGTTTAGACTACATGAAGACTAGCATGAGGAGTGAGGGAGGATTCAACCACCTACCTCATGCATGACACACCCCAGCTTGCAGAAAGTGGACCTGGAACACACTGCCTCCAGTACGGACTACACCTTCCACCAAAATAAAAATCCCCACAAATGGGCCAATAAACTCCAGGATAAATGGTGAAAAGAATACAGTAGATTTCATTGTACTTTGGTCCTGTCAACATCCGTGGAAGCAGCAGTCGAGGAATCAGGACTGCCAGGGATTAAAGTGCTACAAGCAAGGCGGCTTCTTAAAGGTTAAGGTGCACCTGGTGCAAGTAATATTTCCAATTGCTTCACATACATGTGAAAACTGAACAATGAATGTATAATAAAAAAATGGATGCCTTGGAATTGTGGTGTTGACAAAGAAGTGCTGAATACACCACCGACTGAAAGAATAGATTTTATCTTGAAAGAACTCAGCCACGATGTGCCTTAGAAGCCAGGATTATGAGACTCATATCCTTTGGGCATGCGGTCAGGAGGGGCCAGTCACTGGAAAGGGCCATCATGATTGGAAATGTAGGTTAACAGTGGGGAAAACCTTCAAGGATGTGGACTGACACAGTGACTGCAACAACGGGATTAAGCACAGCAGATTGTGAGGACGGTGCATGTTCCAGCAGCGTTTTGTTGTTGTAAGGAAGGTTAGCTATGAGTTGCGGCCAACTCAAAGGTACATAACAAAAACATAACTGTTGTGTGCCCTTGAGTTGGAACCAACTCACAGCTGACCCTCCAGCCCATTTTCAGATAGTTTAATTGCACGGGAGATTGCTCATTCTCCTTCCACAGAGCAGGTGGTAGATTTGAACTATGTGCCTTTGGAACTGCAGCGCTTACCACTAGGCCATCAAACCTCCCTTTAAAAAACCCAACAAAACATAAGCCCTAATTATTATTCAGATTTCCTCACCACAAATTCCAAAGATGAAGACCTCTTCTTCTGCTCACTAAAATGATCACGTTGATGTGTGTAGTGTTATTGTTTAATGATGTGTAGTGTTTCCCTATTAATAAACTGAGCTGCCAGTGTTGGCTTTACAGAGCTGCATCTTTCTAATCAGTGTCCATCAAGCCCTCCCCAACTCATGGTGATGCTATGTGTCTCACAGTACTCAATACATATTTTCCAAGAGTTTCCAACCTTTTGGTGAGCAGCTGAATGGGAGGTGGGGAGATGGGGGAAGAGGGAGGGTATCTTGTTTGAAAATGTATCCCCTTATTACCTGAAGTTAGTTTAGGCAGGGAAGCTTCCTGAAACAACAGTATTCACTAATTAGCCATTAAATAATCTCTCCCCAAAACATCCCTTAACATTCCCAAAACCCAAATCCTTTGCCACCACAGATTCTAACTCACGTGACTGGGGAGCAAAATAGAACTGACCTTGGGGTTTCCCTAAGCAGCTCTACTGGCTTTGTGGTTTGCATTAGCAACTCAAATCTACCAGCTTGCTCCAAGAGATGGGCAGTCTCCTCTCCTGTGATTTACTGCCTCTCAAACCCTGCTGGAGGGTCAGCTAGAAGTTGGTTTTGACTCAATAGTACATATCAGTGTCAAAGCAACTGTCACATGTTTCCCAAGGAAAGGCTGGAGTTTGAACCGACCCTTTGATTCACATTCCAGGGTTTAATCACTGCACCAAGATCCTCTTCTCTTATTTACATTATTTAACAGCTTACACTATTTAACAGCTTTACCAGTTTCTCTATGATATGAAATACTATTTCAACAATATAAGACAAACTGCAGAGTCAAATCACAAAGCTTACAAAATCTGTTAAGAAGAACTGCTTTTGCTATGTGCAAAACCATCATCAGATGAGATCTAAGAGACTTAAGCCAGAAAACCAATACGAAGTCAACAATAATGATGTTAGGGTATGTGCTTTAGAAAAGAAACTGGATTTCAAATAGGAGGGTGCTCTGTGGAGAATTTAAGGTGTTCTAACATTCTAACAAAATATACAAGTCAAACACATAATTTCACTAGGGGAAAGTAACACCAACCCCACCCCCTCACTTTGTTTTCCTACTGAATTAGACTTCTGCCTAATTTTTATAAACCCATAGTCAACTACTTTTTAAAAAAAATAATGGGATACAACATTACATATGTTTAGAGACAAACGGCTTAAGATAACCTAAGTTCCTCGTTTCCAATTTGGTAAAGTGGGGAGAGAATTCTTAGTTTCATTCTTAGTATATAGTCTACCGAAATTCTATTTGCTTTGTTGTTATGTGCCATCACGTCGCATAATAGGTCTGAACCCTGTCCTAATCTGGGCCAATCTCACTCTGACACACCTACCCCCATTACCCTAGTTACTGTGCCAATCCATCTCTCATCTGGGGTCTTCCTCTCCTGTGCTGCCTCTTCATCTTTTTGAGCATGATGTCCCTCCAAGGCAATCTGCCAAAGTATGTGAGATGGGGCTTCAACATTCTTGTCTCCAAGGAGCAGCATGGTTTCACTCTCTCCAGGGCAGATGTTTGTTCTTTTGGCAGTCCACTCTTTTCTAGCACCCTAACTCAAAGGCATCAGTTCTTCGTCTATCATCCTTAGTCACTGTCCAGCTTTCTGATGCATAGCAAGTAACTATGAAGACCATGGCTTGGAACAGGTGCACCTTAGTCTCTAAAATGACGTTGTTGCTCTTGAGATGGTCCACCTGTCTCCCCTGGAGATGCTGGTGGTTTCTAATCACTGGAAATACTTGGTCTTTTTGGACAGCAGTGCAACACACTGCAGACTGCCACTCATAATGGAGTTTCTAAGTACCTTGCTAATCTACAAAGACAAACTAAAGATGACCATTATACTTGCTGTAGTGTCCAGCCTCTAGACAACTGAGAGAGTATTCACCAGCAAGAAGTGATTAAAGTGGATTCACAGAGTTGGAAGGAACATTTAAACAAAAAATAAATATATTTCAGAAATTTGAAAAGAACTTCGGTAAGATTAGATTCTAAAAAGCCCAACAAAGATTATAATAGATATTTATTTAAAGTAATACATATGGCAGCCAAAATGGTGCTTAAATTATCTATTTCATGTTTAACCAGCATCATAAAAATACTTAGAGGACAGCTGCATTCACAGATTTCAATTAGGTGATTATTTCTTTGCCCATTCTTCTCTCTCTTTCCTTTCTCGAATAACCTCTTTCAGATATGGTTCAAGGTAGAATTTATCCTGAAAAAGAATTATTAGTATTAGATGCCAACATCACATATGGTTATGTCCCAAATATTCAGCTAGTCTTTAATGATAAATCAATCAAAATGACTTTCTATTTTTAGGTTATTCTGCTTCTAAAATTGTAAAGGCCCACAAAAAGACACCACAGTAAGCTGTTCCAATAAACTATACAACCACCAAAACCCACTGCTGTTGAGCTGGCACCAATTCATAGCTCACCTGCCAGCAGGTTTTCAAGAGGCTGTAAAATACATGAAAAGAGACTGCCCATTTCTCTCTTTTGGATTCAAACAGTTTCCCTCTGGGTTGGCAATGTTAATCTCACCCACAAAGCCAGCAGAGTTCCCTAATAATTTATTTCTTATAAAACAAAATATGTTAGGAGAAAAAATGGAAATGAGAGCTTATGATTTGCTGTCTATCTAGTCCACCCAATTCCAGGGGGAAGGGTTAGGGGGTTCCTCAATGAGCTGATCCTTTAATCTTTTAATCTAAGTCAAGAAGTACTTTACAGAGGAGGTAAAAGCCTAGGAGGCATCTGAGAGCTGGACAATGAATAAGGATGACAGAATAACTGACGCTTTGAGTTGAGGTGTTGGAGAAGAGAGCCGAGTGTGCCATGGGCTGCCAAAAGAACAGGTATGTTTTCGAAAAAGTGCAGCTGGAGTGCTCCTTGGAGGCCAGGAGGGCAAAACTGTGTCTCAGATGTTCTGGGCAAGCTGCCAGGAGAGGCTATTCCCTGGAAAGGGACACTATGCTCAGAAAGGTGGGGAGGTCAGCGGGGAAGGAAGATCCTTAACAAGATACATGGTGACGGCAGCAACAGGTCCAATTGTCTCAAGAGATGAAGAAGATGATGGGACAGGATTCAGATCTGCTGCTCCCAAGGTCGCTATGAGTTATACTTGACAGCACTTGATAACAACAGGAAGCAGAAGACCTGACTCTAATTCTGGCTCTATATTCCACTCTTAGTGAGCAACATTCCAGCTTAGTGACTGTGGCACTAAGCTCTGTTGGTGTGGCCCACAGGGTGCTTCACTGCTAACCAAAAAGGGCAAGTATCTCTGACAGTTCAAATCCACCAGCCTCCCGACTGGAGAGAGACAGGCAGCGAACTGTTACAACTTATAGCCTCATAAACCTGGTGGAGGGTCACTGACACTTGGACTGATTCAACAGCAGAGAGCGTGACTGACTGTGGGAGAGTCATTTCACTTCAATTTGTAAATCTCAAAAATGCAGGTAACGTTTGCTCTCCTGATATCCTAGGATGTCTGCCGTGAGGCTACTTTTGCGTACAATAAGCACTAGACAAATAAATGTATTTCTACTGTTATTAACACACAACCCCTCTTGCCAACACTGGCAGACATAATAATGACATTATACCTCCTCGTATTTTGTCCACTGTTCTTTAGGCAAGATCTGTTGCCTCATGGTCAGGTCCAGGGCTCTTTTTATGCGAAACATCCTCTCATTATAAAGGTTCTCAGGAAGCCTTCTGATGGCTTCTTTTACATCTTCGTCTTCATAGATTGTATCATCCCGCAGTAATCCTGTTAAGAAAACAAGAGACTTGATTGATTGAACGCTCATCTCTAAAATCAGTGTTTTAAAAAAATTACTAAAACAATCTGCAACTCAAGACAGATGAAAGAGTTCAAATCACTAAGTACAAAGGAAATCTAGCTAAGTATGTTATTACAGTCAGTAACATAGCACATCTTATACATTTGCCTTTTGAAATTCATTACCATAATATTTACATTTTTATCCAACTATTTTTACTATGTCTACCTATTTTTTAACACACATCAATAAATCATACATCCTGGTTCTTATATCTTAAATTTGAGATCAATGTATTAAAGAAGATCAAAATGATATTAAAAAAAGAAAAAAAAATTGATAGTAAGTAAGGAGTCAGCAACAATGAAATTTCCACTGAGCTTCAACACTATGGCGGTCTAAAAATTTCAAGAGTCAGGTAAATGATGTCAAACAATTTTCAATACTTGAAAATAAAAGGGGGGGAGGGGCCTTAATTTAAAAATTTTCTGATGTTCCTAAGATTTTTTGCAACTTTTGACTTGTGCAAAAGTATCAGTCTTTATAAAAGATTTAAAAGAGAAAATGAAAGGAGGAAGAAGCAGAGAGACTCACCGAGTTTATTGAATCCTGCAGCATTGTAATACCATTTTCGAATACCATCCAGCCACCGTCCTGATGCTGCAACTGATCATGTCACACTGTTAGTTGTCTTAATTATCCTATACTCTTTGAACACACTGATAGGTAAGCAACACACACTCTCAGCCAATTCAAATAGAGGAGGTGGTTTCCTTTGCTAAGTCTATACACTATAGGTAGTGAGATGTAACCTGTGTTGACTATACTTGTGGTTTCCCATTTACACTGTACTGTTATCAATATATACAATGTTGCAGCACATAATTTGCTGACATTTATCATCCTCAAGATGTTCACTACCAGGTATTTTTCTATTTAAAGCTGCTAATCCATTTCCTAAACAGCATGCCTCTGGAAACACTGTGAACTTTGATAAATGGCGATGGTTGTGGAAGACTTCAGGCCTTCTATTCATGGGGCCGCTATGAATAGTGCTTGCTGGCAATCAACATCAATCCCCAAAGACAAGACAGAATTTTAAAAGATGTCAAAAGATGACAGAATGCAGTAAGTGAAAAAGAAAACAGACAAAAGCAGAGGGCCAGCAGAGGAGAGGAAGAACCTCTCTCTGTGCGATGGATGATGCACTGACTACAACAGTGGCTTAAGCAACAGATATTGTAGGGAGGGCTCAGTACTGGGCAGGTTTCAAAGCATTCAGCACTAAACCAAAAGGCTGGCAGTTCAAATACACCACCTGCTCTGCAGGACAGCCTTAGAAACCACATGGGCAGCTCTGGTTTTGCCATAAGGGTTGCTATGAGTTTGAATTGACTCACCTGACAGTGGAGTTTGGGTATTACAAAGCCTTGAAATACTTAAGTATCTTCTAATTTTACTCTACAAATTAGAAATCAGGAATGCTTTTTGCCTTCCAAATTAAATACGTATTTACCAGTGACGATATTCACTGAGCACCATTTCCGTGTTGCAGAAGAGGAAGTAAGCTTACAGGGGTCATCCTATCAAGGTCAAAGGACTACGGATAGGGCGAGCTCAGTCTATCTGGTTTTAGGAACACATTTGCAAAGGGCCTTAATCAAGATGTGAGCCTTCTTCAAATTAAAGAAATAATGAGTTCTTAAATGTTATCATAACACCCTTCAACCCCTAAAGCTCACTACAATTTAGATTGGCAAATTTCCACCGCAAGCCCATGTTTCTGATTGTTTTTCACAGTGCGGGGAGGAAAGAGGGGGAATTACTTTTAAAAAGCTACTCCAACTGAAACCGCGAGAGGGCAGAGGTGAGACGGGGAAACCTACGAGATGTTCACGTTCTAGTATACTTTAAATATCCGTGCAGTTTCTGCAATCTATCCCAAAATAAAATCGACACATCAAGCAGTGATCAGGTCAGATGGGTTTAACTAAGAGTTTCACTCTATCACTAGACACTCCCGCGCTCTGTTGCCTGTAATACCCGATTTGAGAAGCGAGAAAGGACAGAGATGTCAATTTCCTGTGATCGCTCTGCTTCGGTTTTATCTTATCCGTGGAAAGGGAGATTATTATTTTAATCGCAGCGCTAGTGGGTAAAGTTAACTGACAGATTTATCAGAAAGATCCCGACCCAGTGTACGCAGTCCCAGCACATATTCCAGTCCCGCCGCGGTCCCCGAGCCCCTGGACGCTGTGACGGTCTCAGCCACATAATCCTCTAAGGCAGAGAGGAAGCACTGCGAAGCAGAGACAGCTGGACTGCAGACTGTCAACAGACAGAGGCAGCCCCCGCACAAAAGGCAGGTCAATGTGCCAACCGTCTACGCAAGCCCGGCCTGGACACAGCAAAGGAGTGCGGGGGACACGTCCTGTGACTGGGCTGGAGCTGCCAGTCTCCTTCATGCTGCAATCCTGGCCACATAAGAGTAACCAGGGGAACAGGCGAACATAAAAGGTTTACAGCGGCGATGCCTATAAGGAAGGACACTAAAAACTTACCAGCAGACCTCCCTGACATCTTGACCCCGGAAAGAAGCGTTGCCTGTTGGGTAAGTCGTCGAGGACGCGCAGTGCTCACTGCGCAGGAGCACAACGCCGCTCGTAATAGGTCATTGCCATACACCCGCGCAGGCGCAGCTTTGGTGTCCGCGCCTAGCTCTTGCTGTATGCAAATCTTCACCAGCGTCTGGCCAATAGGGTTGTTGTTGTTGTTGTTATGTGCCATGGAGTCGCTTGCGATTCCAAGCGACCTTATGTACAACAGCCCTAAACTCCGCTCTGTCCTGTGCCAATCGCACTGTCTCTGACACTCCCATCCCAATTATCCCAGTCACTGAAT